CACCGTGAGGAGATTAGTCAGCCTGCAGTTGCTCAGGTTCTGACAGGAAGCTTTTGTGAGTGTTTTTCGGCACTCTGCGCTGCTGTACTCTGTAATACTGCAAGATACATTTTTGCATAGTGCACACTTTACACTTTTTTTTTTTTGTTTTTTTGTTTTTTTGTTTTTTTACATGCAGACTGTATTTTGCTCACTTCAGACTTTTTTTTTATTGTAATACCAGATTTTTGTGTCTGAAGTTGAACTATGGAGCATGTGTAGGCAGCAGGAGACACTGCCTATGGCCCAGTGCCAATGGCCACAGCGTTTCACATTTTGGTCGCCGTATGTTTATATTTGTAGTTTGGTTGCCTTGGTCCAGACCAAAGCAGAAAATAATACATTGGTGCATTTTAGTTCAGGTTCGCTTAGCGTTCATGGCAACTTACTTGACATCAAACCAAGAGATGTAAACAAAAGTCATGTGTAGAGGTGGGCAATGTGGTATTTTATCATGATTGATTTTATTGTGGAAAAAAAAAACGCTTTTCTGAACATATTATGTGGATAGCATCCATACTTAAAGAACACTAACCAAACTTCGTTTCATTACAAGGAAAGCTTAATTACTCCTGTTTAATTTTGTACATTTAGTGCATCATAGTGTGTGAAATGTTGAATAAAAATAATTGTACTTATAGTTTTTAATGGCTATTTTTAAACAGGGCACTGCTCATGCATTGTGTCTATGCATCAAAAAGTTATGATCCATATCAGAGAAATAGTGTCATGGTATATTTTTGCCATATCACTCACCCCTATTCAAAAAATAGACTTTATTTGATTAAACAGGATTTTATGACATACATTTGGTACTGGCAACAACCCACACACTTTCTAAAGTACATTGTACCCTGATCTAACTGGGCTTGTGGGTTTTTTTCATGTGTTTCTTATATTGTCTGTCTTTTTTGTTCCTCATTCTTAAGCAACAAGCCATGAGACTTTGTGTTTCCTTATTTTTCCATGTCTTGAAGTGAGGTGAAGCTACTGCAGCACCTCAAGTGGATTATTGATTTCTAAAATTTCAGAAACTTTGTGCATCAGTACGTAATGTGAGTGACGTGTAGTCAAATATATGTATGTATTTCAGGTATTTAATAATGGCTTCACACGTGCCTCAGTTTCATTTTTAAACCACAACTTTCCATTTTAGAAGTGGACAGAGACCAACCTCCTCAAGGGATCTTGTCTGTGTGCCAGGATTTGCATGGCAGCATTGTCCAGTTCTAGCGAATTGTGCTAACAGAACAGTGACACCAGGGTCCATACTTGCCAAGTCTGAACACAATGTAAGAACACATAGCCTGTAGATGTGTCTGTGTTCTCTTTCCCTTTTAACAAACCTGTTTTGTTGGACACAGAACTAATTGTGTCAAATCAAATTTTGTCAGAATTTGTTAACTACAACCACTGTGAAAGCTAATGGAGGTGGTGCGGTGACTATGGTGGTCCCGTAAATATGATGGCTGAAGTTTGCTGTCACATTATGAAAAAAGTTTGTAAATGAAATAAAGTGGCATTACAGTGAGATGCTGCAATTGCAGTAGCTAAATAGTACCTAATAACATTGTCAGTATATGAGGGGTTTTTGACCCCTAGATCAGATGATGTCAGAGTGGGCCAGATCAGTAGGAGAGACCACAATGGTCATGTTTTTTATAATGTAAAGCTTTTAATAAAATTTTTTTATTAAAATGTACTTGATTCGTTATAGGTTCGTAAGCATTCTTGGTAATTGTAAATACAACAATAAACATGCTTCTATTATTATGGCCGCAAAATATTTATTTGATTTTTAGATTTATTGGATTTATTGACTTGGTGGCCCGTTCAAATGTTTGTCTGTCTACCCCTTTATGTACATGAGTACAGTGTGTGTGTGTCTGTGTGTGTGTGTGTGTGTGTGTGTGTGTGTGTGTGTGTGTGTGTGTGTCTTCAAGGCATTAATGCCATGTTGCACCTGATATTAATGCTCTATCTTATACTGGGGCTAGCTGCTATGACCAGAATACAAATGCATCAGACAGATAAAGAGGTTCCACCACAAACAATAGCCTGCAGAGTGTCCGCACACTCTCCGCTGCCCAGACACTCCCCCTGTGCGTGCGGGAGTGCGCGTGCGTTCAAGAGAAAGGGAGGAGGAAGAGTCTCTCTCTTCCCTCTGGCTATGAAGGGCTCGCTCATGCGTGTCTAACACATAGAGACGAGCATACACACACATGATCATTTAGATCGCTAGTACATGACACATGGCCAAAGCCGAACAGACTACTCTGTGTACACATAATCCGATTCACGGACACTTGAACATGTATGACCTCCTCGCGCGTGTGTGTGTGTGTGTGTGTGTGTGTGCTTCACATTAACTCTGTGACACACACATGAGTGCACACACACAGATGGAGTGGCTCAATCAGGCTGTAGACTGTAGACTCAGGCCTCTGAGCTTTTTCTGCTCCAGTGTGGATGGTGTGGTGCGTTTTTTTGTCCAGAGGTGGAAGAGCAGGGACTTGGGCTAATGGCCGCCTGCAAGAATGCACCACTGGAGAGCACTGCTTCAGCAGATGTGCAGTTTCATTGTTGCTTTTGTATTCTACTTCATGATCATGCATTCTGGATTAGCCTAGCTAAGCAACTCGCTGGACTCGAGCATTGGGAAGACTAATGAATGTGCTTCAGCTGAGAACATTTGTCCTGGTAAAGCAGCATGAACTTGAGTCTGTCACATAGGACTGATTTACCAGTTCAGTTCAGCCAGTTTTATTTACAGTTCTGCTCAACCAGTATGATTTTAACAGTTTTACTCAACTGGTATGATTTTAACTGTACTGTTAACTGTACTGTTAGAGCAGAACTGCTAATCAGTTCTACTCAGCTGGTGTGAGTACCAGTACCAGATCTGCTTTTGGTGGCATACCAATCAGTTTTATGGTTCTATAGGTATAATTATATGATTAAGATCATAGGTTTGAGTGTTAAGGATAGTTTTCAGGGTTTTCGGGGCACTTTTTTTCAACTTTCAGCACAGCTTCCCATCAGCTTTCTGACGTTTTTAAACTTTTACCCTTCGTGCAGAGACCTTGGGCATTCATTCGCTAGCAAAGCCTTCATTCACTAGAGAACAAAGACATGTGTAATTAGATTCCTCGGATAAGAGTTGAATTCACAATCACAGTAATTAGAACCTAGGAATATGATCCCTCTCTGGAAGCTTGAAGGTCACCCCCTTCCTCCGAAGCGGCTGAGTTGGAAGTGGTTTGCTGGGGGAAGGTTCAGGACTCTGTCCTGCCGTTGTAGCTGGAGCTGAGGAGTAACAAGCTTTGGTAGAAATTCCAGCTTGGGTGGACGTTAGCTAGCTAGCTAAAGTGTTGATGAGGTAGCTAACAAAGGTTAGGTGAAAGTTCATAAAGTAAATAAATATGTATGCTGTAGTTACATAATGAAGTTTAATGTTACGTTAGGTTGGATAACTCACTGTTTTCATTGTGTGTTGGATAACTGGCTAACATGGTTGGGAAGGGCACTAACCGTATCCTTGAAGGAGCAATTTACAGCCACCCAAACAAGGGCTTCATCCGCACAGCCTGGGGCTTCACATCATCAGTCTGTGGGGCTGCAGCTTGATACTACTACAGCTGGGGACACGCTCTCACAGAGGCAGCTGATCGCGAGAGAGAGAGACTCCCGGAGCGTAGCGCATCCGCTCACTCAGCCCACTCATGTCAGACCATGAAAACTACGATGATTTGAATGTAACGATCATGTAATTAAACAATTAAGTCTGGAAATGGTCTGCTTCTCGAACACTGCAGTCCACTGCCCCAGCGAGAGGCAAGCTGCGTGTGGGCGTGTGAGAAGGAGTCATGACAACATGCTCGCTCTTACTCACTCTCTCTCTCTCGCAGACCTCTCAGTCACAGCACTTAGTCAGGAAAAGCCTCAAAATAATTGACTGATTTGCATCGAGCTCAAACCCGGGTTGGAAAATCAGAATCTATAGCTAGTTGATCGCATTCTCTCAAATATGGCTTGACCTTATAAGTAGGGACTGAGGTGATTTGTTGGAATGTCTCAATCCAATCTGAATGATCAGTTTCGGAGCCAATCGAGGCAGGTTATGGAACACTGTCGACTTTGTTCAGCTGAATCCAGTTCTGATACTTTAAGACTACTTTACCTCACTGTGCTACATTTACTGCCATAAAAGTGGCATAAAACACTGCCATAAAGGTGAAATAAACAGACATTATCCAGTTGTAGCTGTGTGGAACGTTTTCATCAAGTTCAAAGTCTGCACTCTGGATCTGTTTTGAAGTGTAAAATGGGGTCCAACAGCCGCGTGAACAACAGGTCTGCAAATAGATGCCAGTTAGACCAACTGTAAACAGGAAAATAACATTCAGGAAGCCATAAGGAACTACTCCAAAATGTACAAAATACGTTAGTTCAGAGTGTTTCACACTATGCAGATGCTAAAAATAAAGTGCATTACTGAGTTTTAAAATCAGTTTTTTTCCACACTGTGGCGAATTTCAGAGTGAAACATGGAATTAGGGAGCTGAGCTTGCTTGATGATAGGTGGGCTGGAAGAAGGGGGAGGTGAAAGATGTTTTTGTTTAGTATTATTTTCCTGCCTGATGGGTGCACATACATGTAAAGTAATCAGCGTTTTAGAGGCAGACACATTACGTTAGGAATGAGTCATGCTTAATATGACCATAAACAATTTTAATGGCAGGTTGATTTTAATGTAACTGGCAGCAGATCTAATCTAAATTGTACTTGTTTTACTAACTTTAATGTAATTTAAGTGTGCACTAAATTATCTATTTATTATTTGCTAAACTTCAAATATCAGAGACTTGATTTTGACAGGTACTCAGTACTAAAGGACATGGATTAATATCAGGGGACATTCCTAATGTTTGATCTTTTTCTCTCTCTTTCTAAACCTGCAGGATGGAGCGGATGTCTGAGGAGGCGTTGCGGTTGAACCTGCTGAAGCGGGGTTTGGAGACGGCGGATGAGAGAGAGGAAGCACTGGCCAAGCGGCTGAAGATGGAGGGCCATGAGGCCATGGAGAGGCTGAAGATGCTGGCCTTGCTCAAGCGCAAGGACCTGGCTGCGCTGGAAGGTGCCGCAATGGCGGCAGCCATGGCTGAGGGTAAAGTCCCCGGGGGCAGCCAGGGGCTGATGGGGGCCTCAGCCTACGAGGAGAAGTTGAATGGCAACCTGAGGGCTATTGGCCACGGAGGGCCTAGCAAGAACGGCAAAGAGAATATGATGGATGAACCCGTAGATATGAGCGCCAAAAGGAGGTGAGAGGAGTGGCAGTGTGGAGGAGAAAGCTCAGGTTTAAAAAAGCTCATATATGTGAACTACAAAAAATATCTCTTGATGAAGTTGATTATTATAAAAAGGATAAATTAGTACAGTACACAGCAACATACATTTTTTTTTTACCACAAAATATACGTTTAAGTCAAGTAAAGTAAGTTGTTTAGGGTTCTTACACCAGTCAGGCATAACATTATGACCACCTCCTTGCACTTTGTACATCTATAATTACAGACTGTAGCCCATCTGTTTCTCTGCATACTTTGTTAGCCCCCTTTTACCCTGTTCCTTAGTGGTCAGGACCCCCATGGACCCTCACAGAGCAGATGCTGTTTAGGTGTTGGATCATTCTCAGCACTGCAGTAACACTGACGTGGTGGTGGCGTGTTAGTGTGTGTTGCGCTGGTCTGAGTGGATCAGACACAGCAGTGCTGCTGGAGTTTTTAAACACCTCAGTGTCACTGCTGGACTGAGAATAGTCCACCAAGCAAAATTATCCAGCTAACAGCGTCCTGTGGGCAGCGTTCTGTGACCACTGATGAAGGACGAGAGGATGACCGACACAAACTGTGCAGCAGCAGATGAGCTATCGTCTCTGACTTTACATCTACAAGGTGGGCTGACAAGGTAGGAGTGTCTAATAGAGTGGACAGTGAGTGGACACAGTGTTTAAAAACTCCTGCAGCACTGCTGTGTCTGATCCACTCATACCAGCACAACACACACTAACACGCTGCCACCACGTCAGTGTTACTGCAGTGCTGAGAATGATCCACCACCCAAATAGTACCTGGTCTGTGAGGGTCCATGGGGGTCCTGACCATTGAAGAACAGGGTAAAAGGGGGCTAACAAAGTAAGCAGAGAAACAGATGGACTACAGTCTGTAATTGTAGAACTACAAAGTGCACCTATATAGTAAGTGGAGCTGATAAAATGAACAATGAGCATAGAAACAAGGAGGTGGTCATAATGTTATGCCTGATCGGTGTAAACTATGAATGAGGTGTGACAGAACTGTAGCATGCAAATGTGAAAAGATTCTAAATCGTGCTGCTGCCCCATATGTGCAATGTTACGTGATGTTCAAGATGTGTAAAATATGTGAGTACACGAGTCAAGACTAAATAGAGACAGGTAAGAAAGAAGAGGCCTGTACAGACATGGGTAGTGAGTGCTACTGTGAGTGGGAAGAAGCTGTTTGATTGTCATGATGAATTTGTTCAGGCCAGTAAAAAAAACAATTCAGCACTCTTTTTTTTGTGTGAATATCTCATAATACCATTGCTTAAAACAGGGGTGTCCAGTCTTATCCTCTAAGGGCCGCTGTGGCTGCAGGTTTTCGCTCCAAACAAGCTGAAGCACAACTGATTCTACTTGTTTAATCAGTCGCTCTTAGTCTTTAAACATTTCATCAGGTGACCTCCTGCTTTGTTGGAGTGAAAACCTGCAGCCCACCGCCCCTTTGCGGAAAAGATTGGACACCCTGGCTTAAAACTTCTTGAGTCGTTTAAGGGACTTAAAAAGTTCCTCACTGAGCAGCTTTAGGTCTTCCTTTTCTTCAGTGCTGTAATCTGAAATTTTGGTTAAAATGTGACTAGCTGACCTGATGTTAGCATGTCTAACTTACAGCAAAGTAATTAGAACACTTCACTTAGGCTAGCTATGTAAATGGAAATAAACCATTAACATTGCATCCGTGGCATATGTGACTTTTTTCCTATTAATATTTTTATGAGGCAAATGTAGTTCCAGCTACGCTGGTTAAGATAGGTACTGGTAGTAAACATTAGTATCAACTCACTAGGATCTGTGAGCGCATGTACATAAGGAAGTGCTATGGTAAAGCAGGGAAGAGCCAGGCTTTGATATTATACAGCTCATTAAGATTCTGAAGGCACTTTAACCTTTTTCTGCCCCTTTTCTAAGAGAAAAGCATTCCCAGCACCTATTTGTAATAATGTCAATGTGACTCGCATTTGCAGAACACCCAAACACCTTAAATGGGAATTCCACTGATCTAAAAAAAAATTCTGCATAATTAAATTGTTGAGATGTAACCAGTCATTCATAGTGGTCTGATGTGAAGTGTCTAGAAAAACGTAACTTGTTTTCTCTTTGTTGGTGATAGGAGCCAGGGGTCGTAATGTCTACAACACAAATAAAGCCATTTTATGTACTAACCAAAACTACCTGTGAACCTATTTCTGAGCTTTTATATTTCATATTATCAGAATATGTATTTCTGATAATGGTCAATTAGTGCTATATATGAAGAATACATTTGCTTTGGTTACTATTATGAATATAAATATCTAAAAAAACAAAAAAAAAACATTTTAGACCCCCTTTTTTACCATGATGCATCTGATCCTACTACTCACAGACTTCTGAAGAAGTTAATTAGCTGGAGCAGGTGTACCTGGAAAGTAGATCTCCAGGACCAAGGTTGGTGACCACAGAGGTGAACTAAACATCTGTCTTTCTCCCCCCAGTGATGTGGACCGACAGAGACGCACTCCATCTCCAGACGTGATCATCCTGTCAGATAATGAAGCGTCCAGCCCGCGGAGCACCCCGCGTCCAGAGGAGCGGCACCACCACCCCAACCTGGAGATGTTCAAGGTATGGCCCCTTTCCTGAGGAGGAACTCATCCTGCTATCCTGTGCTGCTGCGTCAGTGTTGCCTCTGCTGTGCAGCCCCTCATTCACTGACACTAATAGACTGTGTCTGGGTCTGTCAGCTGACTGCACTGCGCTCATTGTCAGGCCTGCAGTCTCTTTTATTAGGCCTATAGCCATGTGAGTCATTCCATAAGCCACGCAGCAGCGGGACATTATTGTGATTAGAGAGTCAATCACAGCGTCTCCAGCTCGTGCGCTTAATGTCACACCACTGAGCTCAGTTCCTCAGTCAGTTCTCAGGGCCTGGAAGACCTTTTTGTAAAGTTTACTTGTCAGTCAGTCAGTAAGGGATTGGCCACAGGTCTCTCAGCTCTGTGCTCCAGTAAGAGATTCTGTTGGTTTAGCCAGCCAACACCTGCTGCAAGGGGGGGTTCGCAGAATTTGGCTTGTGGCAGGAGTGAAGCCTTGTTGACTGCTGCATGTTTGTACACAGGTTCGTAAAGGAGCCCAAGTAAACAAACCTGAATTTTCCTTGCCAGTTCACATATGCTTTACTCGTCACTATATATTTCATTCATGAAATCTCCATTTAAAAAAAAAACGTGGTGATTCAACAGGCATTTGGGGTTTTCAAAGTAGGGCCCTGCCTTCCACTAGAATAACCACACCCACCAACCCCGCCTTCACCACTGCCTCTGCTGTTTATAACATCATTTCAACACCATTTTTGATGTAAACGAGAATAAATGTGCTGTTGTGGATGCCAGGTTTCCAGTGTGTCATGTTTTCAAGCCCAAGATTGTATAGTCAAGTAAATACCTGGTTAGTTTCTGTATTTCAGTTTAACTGGTAACATAATGTGTCTTCCGAACGAATGTTGGTATCCGTTAAACTGAGGGGGAAAGAATTACTAAAATAGTTCTCCTTTAATACACATGACCATGTTTTCTTTTTTGTTTTTCAGTATCTTAACATTTTAAAGACTGATCAGGTTTATTTTGAGAAAAGCAGTATCTCACATGTAAGAATGTGTAACAGTGCAACTTTGGGAATAATGCCACACTCTTTTTATTCTCTTGTTGTGTTGTTAGCACTCAAACCTCTCAGGTTTTTAAACCTATTTTGAGCCAGAAAATATATGATTTCATATGAGCTCATAACAATACCTTGGAAAAAAAACTGTCAAATCATTATTTCGGCAAAACCTACTTTTCTTATCAAGGAAAACGCTTGAAACTGAGTGTTGAAAAAAGTAGTACTGTGCAAAAATCAGAAACCAAATCTCAATGATTTAATTTCCAGTCAAAATATACGTTGAACACAGTACAAATTACTCATTTTCAGTGTCTGGTGTGAAAAGCAGAAAACATGCCTCAACAATAAATACCACGTTTTCCAGTATTTAGTGTGTCCTCCCTTTGCCTTTAGTGCAGCTTCTATTTCTTTCAGGGCACTTGCTTCCCATTTTTCTAAGAAATCTGTATATTTCTGTGTGTATCTGGATATTTTTTCACCTTTAATGTTCTGTCTTAGAAATTGGTTACCTTTTTGTGCTTTTCACAATCCAAGTAATCCCAAACACATTCATTGATGTTAAGGTCTGGGTTCTGGGGTGGTCAGTCCAGTCTTCTGAGACCACCAAACTTCGTTCTTTTTCTTTTTTTTGTTTCCTTTTCTCAGCAGTGGGTTCTTGGCAGCTGCACAACCTTTCAGACACATTTGTAGATTTGTTTCAGATCTAAAGCATAAAGAGTGAAGCTTGATTTTCTCTCAAAGAAGCTTTAGGTGCTGTTTATCTGAGGGGGAAGTTTTGTAGGTCTGATAGGTCTTGCACAATTGTTAGTCTCATTTTCTCTTTATATTTTAATAATTGTTTTGAATTTCAGTTTTGTTCTTTTCACTTACTTTCCTTTGACTTTCTCCTTTCTTACGCAAGTGGATTATCTTATACCTAATAGCCTTGTCTGTCCTCTCAATATCTTCTGAAAAATTAATAACTTACTGGCCATTTTGGCTGACTGGAAATTAGATAAACTAAATATGGTCTCTGACTTTTGCAGAGTGTTGTGTATCCAGAGCTATTGTAAATATATGTATATGTTAAAAAAAATAAGTTGCAAGTGTTTTTGTAATTTTCCAGTTAAACAGTAACAGTGAAAAATCAAACATTCAAATGAAGTCAGTGAGTCAAACATTTTTAACCAGCATTGTATAGACTGTCTTCATCCCTCTTCAACTGGTCATCTGTCCTGAGTCAGGCTTGGTGTATGTGTGTATCACTCTTTGTGGGGTTGCTGTCTGCATTTCTCTAACTGTTGTATCATGTTTGTGTGTGTATATTGTTTGTTCATGTGTGTGTGTGTGTGTGTGTGTGTTGTGCTCTGCAGGGGAAGACGGGTGAGGAGAGGCAGCAGATGATCAAAGCGCTGCGTGAGGAGCTGAGGCTGGAGGAGGCCAGGCTGGTGCTGCTGAAGAAGCTGAGACAGAGCCAGATGCAGAAAGAGAATGTGGTGCAGAAGGTCAATACTCCACTCTCCCCTATTACCTCCATTTATCAGCACAGCTGACTTAACACCTCACTCCACACTGTTTAACACTGCCCCAGCACCTGGCTCAGGCAGGCTAGTGACCATTACTGCCCCACTCTAATGGAAACTAGTTCTCTTTTCAGGCATTACTGTTGTTTATGTAACTGTCCTGGAGCTGTTTCATGCCTGTAGTTTGATGCACTCAAATGCCAGAACACACACATGACCTCAGCTTTGCTCTGGGTGGCCACTGATACTTGAGCTATACTAAAGTACAGTATCATTGTTCGTGAGTCTGCTTAGTAGGGATGTAACAATGCAATGCACGGGGGGCCTATCCCAGTAGTCACTGGGCAGAAGGCAGGAAACACCCTGGACAGGATGCCAGTCCACACCTAGGGGCAGTTTAGCGTCTCCCGTTGGCCTGACTGCATGTCTTTGGACTGTGGGAGGAAACCCACACAGACACGGGGAGAACATATAGAGTCCAAGCAGAAAGGACCCTGGTCGCCTGGCCGGGGAATCGAACCCAGGCCCTTCCTGCTGTGAGGCGAAAGCGCTACCCATATAGGAAAACAAGGAAATTAATATTCTTGTTTTAACAGCGCTGCTCCTTAGTCAGCCCACAGCATTCTGATTCAAAGCAATGTGTCACTAAGATTACCTTGTTAAGCATTTTGGCTTGAGCAAAATAAAAACTATACATTTCAGTGATGGGTGACTGTGCTGTGGGTCCCTACCTGCTAGAATGTTCTCTATAGAAAGCCTTTTAGTCTGAGCTTATAATATTTATCAGCCACTTCCTCTTGCTTTTTTTAACATATCTTAATTATGGTTGCGCCTTGCTTTAGCTTTCACTTTTGATTTCTTTGAGGTGGAACTGCTTTTAAGGAGGAATTGCACTTAGCTAGCACAAGAACTAATCCACTGCCATACTGACCCGCACTCCTCTTTGTGTTATTTTTTTCATCCCTCGTTCCTCTCATTGAGTCCCATTCATTTTCGCCACCACTCAAACTCTATTACTTCTTTGCCCGACAGTCACCAAAATGCATGTACTCATTCAGGGCAGGTCCCCAAGCTCTAATCCACAGCCGTCCTGACCTGCACTCCTCTATTTGTCGTTTTTTTATCCCTCGTTCCTCCCATAGAGTCTCATTTATTTTTGCCACCACTCAAACTCTATTACTTCTTTGCCCAACATCCACCGAAATGAGAGTACTCACTCAGGGCACTGCTTCAAGCTCTAATCCACAGCCGTCCTGACCAGCACTCCTCTATTTGTTGTTGTTTCATCGCTCGTTCCTCCCTTAGAGTCCCATTCATTTTCGCCACTACTCAAACTCTATTGCTTCTTTACACGACGGCAAACAAATTACATGTACTCACTCAGGGCAGGTCCCCAAGCTCCAATTCAAAGTCATTCTGACCCGCACTCCTCTATTTGTTGTTTTTTCATCCCTCGTTCCTCCCATAGAGTCTCATTCATTTTTGCCACCACTCAAATTCTATTACTTCTTTGCTTGACAGCCACCGAAATGCATGTACTCACTCAGGGCACATCTCCAAGCTCTAATCCATAGCCATACTGACCTGCACTCGTCTATTTGTCATTTTTTTCATCCCTTGTTCCTCTCACTGAGTCTCATTCATTTTCGCCACCACATAAACTCTAGTACTTCTTCGCCTGACAGTCACCGAAATGCATGTACTCACTCAGGGCAGCGTCCTCAAGCTGTAATCCATAGCCATCCTGACCCGCACTCCTCTGTTTCTCATTTTTTCATCCCTCGTTCCTCCCTTACAGTCCCATTTATTTTCAGCCAAACCATAGCCCTGTTTTTTCCATTGTGCAACAGACACCGAAATGCATGGGCACATTCCCAAGCTCTAATCCACAGCCACACTGACCCGCACGCATCTATTTGTCGTTTTTTTCATCCCTCGTTCCTCCCATAGAGTCCCATTCATATTCTTTCGCAACAAAGCCCTAATCGGTCTTTTTCCCCAACAGCCACCAAAGTACATGTATTCACTCAGATCAGGTCTCCAAGCTCTAATCCACCGCCTTACTGACCCACACTCGTGTATGTGTAGTTTTTTCATCCCTCATTCCTCCTAATGACTTCCATAGTAACCGCTGTGCAACCATTCCCCGTTTCCTTCAGGAAATGCACTTTTCTAGTTATTATTATTATTTTTGATTGGATTCATGCTTTAGATAAGCAGTCAACTATTAATGTGCTAAAAAGTATGCTAATGTGGTCTAATGTGGAATCATAAATAAACACATAGTCAATGAGTTAGACTATGAGGAGAAAATCCAATAGATATTCAATATGTTGAATAAATTCAGATTTGGCTGCTGGTCAGGTAATGATCTGCCGCAGTGCTTTCCTTACCAAGCAAAAGTGCCCTGTCCTTTAGCTTACCGAATGTGATTAAAAGTAGTGTGAGTAAAGCCATCTTAGAACAAACACTGAGGGGTGAAATAGGGCAGCTATGGAGGAGAACAAACAGATTTACTGGCAGTGTATCACAGCACTGTGATATGTTTGTCCTGCTGCTCTAGTGTTGAGATGTTTCTCCCTGTCTCTACACATACATAAGCTGACCAGTTGGAATAAGCCTTTGGATTGGCTGCTTTCATGAGTGCCAGTACAATCCACAACAAATTTAGTGGAATCACTGAAAAAGACAAGTTTTGCTCTCTCTAGTGACAAACATAAAAACGCACACACTGGATTACTTCAGGAATCAGACATTAGGGTTAACCCTGTAACAGTGTACAATGTTCATGCTGGTCTCTCTTTGTGTCCCCTTCCTCTCCAGGTTCCAGTGGTCCAAAACGCGCCCTCCTCCGTGCAGCCCTCTCCCATCCACAGCTCACAGGGGCTGAATAAGCTGCCCGTTCGGCCCGGCATGCACACCTCCGAGCCCCAGAACCTCCGCACAGCACAGGTGTCAAGGCTGTTAATAACTGGAATAGATTTTGTTCCCTTTGTTTTATTTTGTATAGTACACTGTATTCTGGTTCATCAGCTTACCTGACATATTAGAATTGCAGTGCATGCATGCTTAACAAATCCTTGTTGGATTTTCCTATTTAGTATTTTTTTTTTTTTTTCAAACTTGATAGTCTGATTGTTTTCAGTATCAAAACCAGATTATCAGATTAAAAGATTAATTAAGAAATGTTAGTCTGTCTCTTCTCACAAAAGTGTAGCACCCATTGTCTAGTACAGTGGTAAATATCATTGCACAATTTATTCATGTCCCTTTTACTAAATGTGACTGTGTAGTAGTGGCAGCAAATCAAGCATCTACTGACATCTAGTGGTCATTCATTATACTGCATGTCTTTATTTATTTCCCTGCATGTTTGTTCCAGGGCCACACGGTGATCAGGTCCGCTGCCAGTGCCTCCCTGCCCCCGATGATGATGTCCCAGCGTGTGATCGCCCCTAACCCAGCCCAGCTGCAGGGTCAGAGAGTGCCCTCTAAGCCTGGCATGGGCCGATCCTCCACAGGGAGCATGGGCAATGCAGTCAACTACCAGCAGGTACACTCAACCTAACATCTTGTGTAATTAAACTGTGCAGTCATACGGTACAACATACATAAACTGCTGTTCCAAAGATTGAGATCTCTGTTTTTGATAGTATGAAACTGTTTCTGTTAGCACAGCATAGTGGGTATTACCCCTGCCCTCCATGCAGCACTCTGGGGTTCATTTCCCTGAACAGGCAGGCACTTAGTCCTAGTCCTTGGGCAAAACTACGAACACTACATTTGCCCACCTCTTTAATAGGGATGCATCGATACCATTTATTTGAGACCTAGTACGAGTATGTTTTTTAGCACTCACTGATACAGAGTCTGATCCCATACTGAGTAGCCTGAGTGCAACGTACCTTAACAGTTAAATTTAAATAGACCTTACCAGTCAGTTTGAATAGACCATCGTGTGGGACAAAGCTTACAATTTATATACCCACACTGCAAAAATTCTTGGCCTGTGCTGCACAAATCGTAGGCCCTACAGAAAGCTGTGAACAATTTCATGTAGAGCTGTTTCAATTAAAATTACACGCTGCATTTAATGAGCAAAGACAATAAGAATTTGAGCTACAGCAGTGCTTCTAAATACTAAAACCAGGCGATGCGCATGGTAGGACAATACGGTCTCTCTACAGCCTGTTTTACAAAGTCAGTTTGAAAATTCAGTGTATTAACGTTTATACGTCACTATTCTATTCAGTCAAACAGAGTAAAGTCAGCGTATATAGACTTTGGTAGCAAATGTTTTTTTGATAAACAGGCTAAAATTGCACTGCGTATTCCTGGTGGGAACATACCTAGGCAAAATGTTTAAAGTGACCGATGGCTGTGTCCGACCACCACAGAGTCAGTAACGCGTCTCCGTGTGAGCAAACCCTCTTTCACAGCCAGCTTGAGTCATTTGTTCATTAGCGCGGTAGTGTACACTTGGCTTACATCACATTGTATCAGGTGGTATCGGATGTTGGTATTGGTGCCTTTTTGTGAGGTTGAGTACGAGTTAATGAGTGTGGTATCAGTCTGATACCAGTATCAGTATTGATCCATCCCTACTCTATAACATAATAATATTGTAAGTCTCTCTGGATAAGATCATCTGCCAAGTGCATAAATGTAAATGTAATTGAGAAAACTGCATTGAGTCAGAAATGGAGAATATTAATGATATTTGAAGTGATGACGTGTGTCCCGACTATAAAGAGATCGTTTCTAATTTTTATTGATTAGTAGTATCTTTTTGTTTATTATAACAAGTGACTCCAAACTTTTGAGCAGTGATGTACAGAATCCCTGCTCACGTCTGTAATTAAATTGAGCAGCGTCGTAGAGCTCATACCTGTACTGTAATGGTACCAAGACTCTCATTGTGTGGATGTTTATTAATTAGAACATTAGCATTCTCATTTATTAGTAATTTATTGAACAAATGACAGGAGTGTAATCATGTTGAATAATGTTTCCTCTGTGTCCTACAGGCTGCCAGCCAGCAGGTGGCGGCCTCCCAGCGCTCCAGCTCTTCCACAGCCATCTACATGAACCTGGCTCACATGCAGGCGGCCGGGGCAGCGGGGGTTCCAGGCGTTGGGGTGGGTGTAAGCGGAGTTGGGGCAGTCAGCCCCTCCACACTACCCAGCGGCTCCAGCGTGGCTGCTGTGGGCGGTGTGGGCTCGCTGAGTGACCAGGCCAGCAGTCAGGCGGCTGCCAAACTGGCCCTACGCAAGCAGCTGGAGAAAACCCTTCTGGAGATCCCACCACCTAAACCCCCCGCTCCCCTGCTCCACTTCCTGCCCTCAGCTGCCAACAGCGAGTTCATCTACATGGTGGGTTTGGAGGAGGTGGTCCAGAGCGTCATCGATAGCCAGGGTGAGGCCCAGACACACACGCAGCAAAGCACTTTCGTTCCAAAGCGCATTATAAACCACTTTCAAAAATCTTTTTTTTGTTTCTCCAGTCACATTTGTGTGTTCAGTGTATCCTATAAAATAGTTCTGATTTGTTCCAAATATGTTAATCCAGTCATGATGAAACTGGAGAGTTCATGGTTCACTGAATTGTACCTTAAAAGCATATCACTTAGAGAAGTTAATAAAATGGAATGAAACAAGAACTATTTTCGTTTGTTTGCTATGGCAGGTAAAATGAGGGGGTCTCTGGCCCGCACAGAGCCGTTTTTCTGTGCCCAGTGCAGGACCGACTTCACCCCCCACTGGAAGCAGGAGAAAAGCGGACGCATCCTGTGTGAGCAGTGCATGACCTCCAATCAGAAGAAGGCCCTGAAGGCTGAGCACACCAACCGGCTGAAGAACGCCTTCGTCAAGGCCCTGCAGCAGGAGCAGGTGGGTTGACTGTTGATATCAACATTAGTACATCTTCCACATGATAGGTGTGAGCTCATTTGCTGATTTTGGCTTTCTGTTTTCTTTTCCTCTCTCTCTCTCTCTCTGTTGTGTGTGTTAGGAGATTGAGCAGAGGCTGCAGCAGCAGGCTGCTCTCTCCCCAAGCTCGGCTCAGACTGTGCCCAGCGTCAGTAAGGCTGAGAGCATGATCCGACACCATGCTCTCCGACAGGTAGAACACTGTCTTACATGTGTTCGTTATGCACTGTGTAGCACATGAAAAGAGATTTTTCACGTAGTGTGCCTTGTAACCTTTATGTGACCTGCAGTTACAAGGGGTTCACAGGTAGTCATTGTTTATTACAGTCCCGTGGTCGTGGCGTACCCCTGCCCTGGTGTTATTCTGCTCTTACAGACCTGATTGGGAAACACTGATTTAGACGTTGTTAAATAGTGATGGTCTGCTCAGTAACACTTGGTTTTATTTGGTTGTGTTTGCTAGGCTCCTCAGCCACAGGCTGACCTGCATCGGGGTCTGTCCAGCTCAGCACGGGGCGTGCTCTCTAACTTTGCCCAGGCCTCCCAGCTCTCAGTGGCAAGTGGCCTGTTGGGTATGACCAGCAAGCACTGCGGTGGGGCCAGTGGCAGCAGCAGTCGGCAGCAGCACGAAAGCCGCCGGCAAATCTACAACATCCCTGGTGAGAGAACTGCGTTAGAGACCCTTCGGCAGCCAGACATGGTTCCCTGTATTTCAGTCCTATGAAATTAAACTGCCATTCAAAAGTTGGAATGAGTGTTTTAAATAATATAAAGCCAGCTTAATTTGGATAAGTATGTACATAGATATCAAATAATCGTTATGAGGCTAGGAGGCTCTAAAATAATTTAAAAATAAATGATGATGAGTCCAGAGCTGTGATTGAGATCATTCTGAAAGTTGTACAGGAAGGGTATTCAGGTCCAGTTATATCGAATATCTTGCTTACTGTAGTTTGAATAAACAGACTATCCTCTTACTAGGGTTTGAATAAAGAAACTATCCTAAGTGAATGCTGACAGTGGTTACCTTTAAATGCTTAACTTTTAATGAGTAGTCCAGGCAACCAATAAAAAAAAGGCACCTCAAACATTTTTCTGATCAAGTATTTTGTTCTGAATGTATCTTTTTAATCTAATAAAGTTTAAATTTGGTTGGCCATTGGCTATTATTGTTTAAAAAGAATAAACAAATACATAAAATCATTTTTAAGGAAAAAGTCTTAAAATGTTAATCATGTCTTTTCATAAGATAAAATAAATTAATTTAAAGAAAAATAAAATTTAATTAAAATGTAAAATAAAAAAGGCTATTCTTGATGAGCATTTTATGCTCTTACCATCAGTAATGGATGTGCACACAGGTGTACCTTTCATGCTGAGCTTTGGGTTTATTTTATTTATCCTCATGTTGGGAATTGTCTGTTCCAAACACTCACACATTTTTTTTATTATTATTATTTTTTTTAAACAAGCCATGTTGCTGCTTCACTATTAAGACCAGAAATAGTCATTTAAATTAAAAATCTACAAAAATATGTGAAATTACTCGCTTTTTGACCTGATATCTACCCCTGTTGTCCCTGTTCCAATGAGCGGTCTTCATCATTTACATAAATGCATGTGATTGGATAAACCACGACAGGACTGCTACAGAAGCCGTGCTGGTTCATGTATGTCACTAAAATGCGACCATTTTTAACACATATTAATCGGCTTCGCAACAGTTTTTCAAGTGTTTAGTTTGGTTCGCTGAAATACTTGAAATACCGCTGTCTGCCTGTTGACGACCCCTGCTGTACAGCATCAAGGATGATGTTATACTAAAATATTATATCCACATTGCTTAATTTTCAGAAGTGATGAATCTGTTTTATCTCTAGTTTATAATAATTGCAATAATTATTAGATTACAGTGTATTATTTCTTATTGTATATAAAGTCGTACTATTCAGACTTTTGAATGGTGTGGTGTATATTAGATATTGGAATGGTATTGTGCTTTTAGCCTTTTTTCTTATTTTCTGTTTGACGCTTTTTCTGTTGTCCCTTGTGTTACTCTCTCTCTCATGCTGACCCCTCTCTCTGTCTCTTCTCAGGCCTGAATATTGCCTATTTGAACCCAGGAGGTGTGGGAGGCCATAAGGCATCCAGTCTAGCAGACCGACAGAGGGAGTACCTGCTGGACATGATCCCCCCGCGCTCCATATCTCAGTCCATCACCGGCCAGAAATGAGCTCCAGCAGACCATAGGCCCCTTCTGGACACCCTTCCACCCCTAATCCCTACACACACACACACACACACTCTCACACACGAAAACACACATACACACACACGCGCACACACAGCAACCATCACCCCCCGTCGCATGCAGTGCCTGTCCGTGTGCCTACCCAACTAACCCATGAGAACGACTCAGCCAGATGATGAACACCAGACTGTCAGTGCATCTCGAATTCAATTTCCTACTATAGCAAAGCTCTTTATTTCAACTTATTATTGCTGTTATTGCTATGTTTATTATTATTATTATTATTAGTATTATTATTAGTATTATTATGATTGCTTCTGTTACAGGTATTCTTATTACGATTATTAGTAGTGATTTGTGGAATTTTCTTTTTTTCTTTCTTTTTTTTTTGCCATTTTTATTTATTTCTTTTTTGAGGGAGGGGGCTAGATTCCAGGGTCACTTGAAAAATTGTTCTCGCTCTTCTTTTCCGTCTAAGCCTCCTCCTTTTTGCACCCTGTAAAATTATGAGAGGTTGCTCTCATGTTATGAAAGCTCTTATATTTTTGATCACATATTCCTCATTGAAGCTTACGTTTATAGCTAAGCTTTTGGAATGAGAACGGTTGGGGCTGTGGCGTTTGGTAAGACCAGAGTCTTTGTAGCAAACACATTTTTGAAGCTACCAGTTCTTCAGAGAAAGAGCCTTGGTGGAGATTGGGTTTGACGGAACGTGACAGACTTTTCCAGTAGACTGGTCCTAATGCACTGAGACGCTGATTTGACAAATAGTTGTTTTGTCTTGAGAAGGCCACACAGTATCGTGTGAACACTAGGAGATGTCTGCAGACTCATTGATGACACTGATGTTGAAGGATGTTCTGGCCTGCGTCGTGTAATGCAAACAGAAGAATGGCTGAATTTAGCGGCAGCGGAGGCAAGAGCGGGATTCCGATGAGGATCTATACAGAAACTGCAGCCAAACTGGAGGCCCATTTCTGTTTAACACTGGCATGGATGGTACCATGTATGTCTCCTCAATGCCTTCACCTTTTATAGGACACCATGACACCGACGCTCTGAGACCAGCTTCCCCTTTGTGGTGCCACTCGATTGGCTGTGTAAGGAGGAAGTGAGCCAGTTTTCCATTACCATGAACTTTGTTCCCTTTTGAGTTTCATTTCTCCTTCAGAGTTGTTGATTTTTCTATTTTTATTTCTCTTTTGTTTCTCTTTTTGGCGGCGTCTCTTGCTGAAAAAGTTGCGTATCTGAAAGGTACTTAACACAGGAGACGATAATCATCGAAATAGTAAAAAAGACGGAAACTATTCAAATATCTATATGGTTTATGTATAGATTCTTAGCGTGAGAGAAGGTTTAAGAGAAGGAGATGCATATATTATAATGGCATAGGCAAAGAATCAATCAGCGTGTTGGGGCAATGCACGCGAGGTGCCTCGTTCTCCAGGAGCACTTTTGTTAACAAGAATGGGGAAAAAAATGAAAAAAAAAATTGGTTAGAAAGAGGATAAGAATGTTACAGGCTCTTTAAGGTGTGGATGGCACCTGACTGTCTCAGAGAGAGTTAGGAGAGAGACCATGTTGTGTTGTGTAGTGAATCTTAAACATGCTCTTTGTTTTTGGCTGTCAGTCTGGTCAGGGCCTTGAGTCAAAATACAGTAAAACGGTTAAAAAATGGTCGATACATTTCTGCTGTGCAGTGACTCAGTCTCACTGTATAACCGTCCCATTATAGATTTAAGCTACATTTCAATACAAGTACCATTGAGGGCAGTATGGAAGGTTTTGCACAAGGTGGCAGCATTAGCAGTGTTGGGTCATTATGCAGTATTAGAGGTTGGATGGGCTCTAATGTAGATTTAGCAAGACACTGTTTCGGTGCTAGACATTATTCAAGCTGTATTCAAGATATTTCCCTCACTGTCCTATTGAATTAGCACTTAACACAGCTGCTTTATTACAGCGGTATGTATAGATGCTTCAGGAAAGTTGGGTCATTTGATTAAAAGTTGTTTGATTAGTTTGCTCATAGCTATAAAATATTCAGTGAGTGTGAGATTTGTGGGCACTTAAGATTTTGGGCACTTAATCACAACCGGTTACACTGTTTTTTTCAAGATTTTTGCATAACTCAGTGAAAAAGATGTAAACAAAGTCATTCAGAGTGGTTTGATGTGAAATACACTGTTAGAGAGAAACTTAGTAGCTCAGATTTCTTTACAGAGGTGTTGATAGGAACCAGGGGTCCCTATATCTACAATGCCAATATAGCTATTTTATTTACTGTCCAAAATGGTCAGTAAACCTACATGTGTCTTCTGAGTTTTTATATGTCATGTTAATAATAGTAAAATAGTGGTAAATCTGATGGAAAAAAAGTTGTTTTTTTTTTCAGATTTCCGTATAATGCCCTGCATGTACCTCTCAGCCATAAATGGAATAAAAAATAAAATTTGAGGCCTCTCTGGCATCAAGCAGCATATTCATTTCCATTTATGTAATAACTTTGTGGAGTATCTTTGAGACATTAAATGCCTCAGATGTCTGGTTCCTAATTTTAATTTACATCTTAGCAGTTGAATTGTGCAAAAATTTGAAAAATCAGTGTCGTTGTCCTTTAACATATGCTAAGACATATTGTGTCCATTTAGGCACTGGACACAGCAATCACAGCATGAGGGCTTTTCTCCTGAAGCTCTCCGGCTTCACGTGTTTGCTGAAAGTGGCAAAATCGAGTCACTGGTGTGGTTTGATGTGTGACGTGAAGTGCTGGTCAGTGCAGGTTCTGTTTAGGTTTTGGAGGCTGTAACGTTACTGCTTGTGAGAGAATAATGCAACTTCTAAACAAGTCATTGAAACTACCTTGGCTTTGATTCACTGGTGCAATATTAGATGGTAGAAAGTTTACGCTTACATTTATACTGTCTATGAATCAGACCCCTTTAGTCAAATCATTTTTATTTTTTTTTCATTACCTGATTTCAAATTTTTTTGTGTCACTCCAATTTGTGTGTCTTTGTATGATCTCTTGAAACAAATGCAGGATGTGTATAGCTAATCTCTCTATCTCTCTCTCTCTCTTACTGTCTCTGCTAGACTGTACAGGATGCATCCATGTACCTTTTGTTGATAACTACCAGTTGGGCTTTGAAATGTCATTTTCTAGGGTTTTGAAATATTACACTTCCTTTGATGAGTCATCAGTTAAGTTCGGTTTGCTTATATTTAATTTCTGATCTTTCATACGAAAAAAAAAAATCAAGTTAAATCAAACAAACAAAAAAAATGAACTATGAGATGACAACACAATATTTGCTAGGTCAGAAGTAATAATGACTTATTGTACATACGCTTTTTTTTCTCCCTTGAATTAAAAAATGAAATGAAATTAAAATGGTTGTATATTGTGTAGAAAAGCAAACAAAAAGCCATGAATATTGTGAAGCTTGTCATTTCGTTTTGTGATCACTGTGTATTATTGTGTAACAAATGTGCAAAATGTACGGGATTATACTTCTCTTGTTTTTGAATGAGCTCTTTTCGATGCATTTTTCTCCCTGGCTGTATGTTTTTGTAGTATGTAGTATTTGCAAAAGGAAAAAAAAAAAATACAATAATTGTCCTGGTGGAGCGTTTGATCCATTCTGCAGTCTTTAGACTGGGACAAAATGGGATATTCATTCTTGTATATGTTACTTTTTTGTGTGTGTTGCTTTTTTTGTCAATAACATTGAAGTTAAACAATGTTCAGTGAATACATTTATTTCTCTAGATATCCCATGCAGACTGTCGGCCTCACAAGGCTCAGAGTGGATCAGACATTTGACAGTATTACCCCACACCTGACCAAATCCAAAGCACTCACCTGTAGACGCGAAATCAGACAATGCCGCACATCACCTTCAGTTAGCTTGAGTTGAATTACAGGGTGTCATTTACCCTTTTGGGAGACAGTGTAAATTCTCATTTTCTACTCCTCATGATATGAAAGCGTTCTTCAGTAGACTTCAGTATGCCTCTTATTCACGGTTTTCCCTAGTGGGGAATTTTGCAATGCTCTTATTTTGTTTTTCATGGGAACTTGTATACATTGTATACATCCACATTTTAAGGAAACCTTGTTTTTGACTGTTCTAATGCTTACTGCTTTCAGTTTAGTAAATTCTTAAGACAAAAAGTGGGACAATTTTGCACACTTTTCAAGTATTGATTATAAAGATTGTGACATTCTTAAATATTCTTTCACATTTCATCGACATAGAGTAACTGTCCATAATCCTCTGATTGGACAATCAGCTTTTGTGGAGACGAGCGTTTTAGCACTGGGGTTTACGTCTCTCCACCACGTGATGTCACTCTAGTTTTTGGATCATCGTTTCAGTTCTTTTTCTTTTTTGTCATTTGTTCTTTTACTGATACGATTTTTCTTTCCTGATTTGTTATTTGTTTGTGAAATACAGGTCATTTTCCTTGAAGTGGGAGACTGGGGGTTTGGGTCATATTTCCTTTGATTTGAAATTTTTCTTCAATTTTGAATCTTTTTTAAACAGACTCGGCTGCAATTCCACCTGTTTGAATATTCAAAACACTTGGCAATATGTAAATCTGTTTTGTTAAATGAAAAAAAAAGTTTTGAAAAGTGTAATAATTCAATGAACAACTGGGAATTGGCTTAAACAGTAATGAATTTGAAGCAAGGCTAAAATGTTTTTTTTTGTTTGTTTGTTTTTTGTTTTTGTTTTTTTCATTTGGGACATTTAATCCAGACCTTTTGCACATCCTTGATATTTAACTGTCTAAAAAATGGAGATGGAAAAATGCTGTTTGATTACTGCCGGTTGATTAACAACAATTATGCATTGACTGATAAGCTAATTTTGGAGGAAATAACTTTGTAATATTTATCTCTTGCAAGCTATGTTTAATAAAGGATGGAACAGTTTACATCTGGGAGTGAGTCACTTCTGTACTTGAAATGTTCAACTAACACGGTTTCAGTTCATTTGTATCTTTCATTTACTGTTAAGGTGATTAAAATCTAAATTTCCCATTTTCGAATTTCCATTGTTATTCTCTTTTACAGTGAAAAACGAATGTTTAAAAATGCTTACAGTTCTGCTGTACGGCCCGTCTGTGTGTAATGAAGCTGTGTGCGCTGTATTTTCACTGTATTTTCGTTGAGGTTGCTGTGCAAATGCAGAGTGAAACTGATCCAGAGTGCTTCTAATTCAAGACATCTTCAATGTTTTGAGCAGTAAGCCAGCTGAAAGCAT